CACAACTTTCCACTCATCTGCTCTGCTTTTTTCTCCAYGCAGCCTTTCCCCAAAGCACTGAAGGCAAGAGCTGAACTTTCCRATCCACAATGTCTGGAATGGTTCATAATTAGACAAAATGTGTTCACTGACACCTCTAGCAATTGCTCGTTATGAAGAGGCTGAGAAAATAAATGAAGGAAAAAGAATTAGGGAAGTCACTAACTATTGATTTATTCGAGGCTTACAGGCATAATGAATAGCCATCTGGAACCAGAGAATTGTGGCTACACAGTCCCCTCCTTCAGTGAACTGTTTAGACAGCTGATCTCTGTGATTACTAGCTGACCAAAACTGGGTAAACTAATGGCTTTCAAAACTTGGAAATATTTTACATTTTGGTTGTTATGACTATTAAATATAAATGGGTGGCCTGGACAGGCTGTCAAGAGGGGAACAGTTAGGATCTGCATCTTGTAAACTCTCCCCTGATGAGATTCTCCTTAAGGACAGAGGCTTTCATGTGGAACATGTGGTTTGTGCCTCAGGGGCAGAGCCAAGGTTCAGAGGGCAAAAATGCTCCCAGCTCTGTAGTTAGGGAAGCCCTTTAAGGCAGCACCACACGGTTTTCCTTGGCTTCTCATTTCCAGAAAGAAAGCCCAGTGAGGTTACTAAAGAAAAGGAGAACAGAGAGAAAAAACAGAACTTGGGGAAGTTGCAGCAAAGCTTACAATAAAAGAAAAGCTTACATACAGATTATAAACAAAACCTTTCAGCCAAGTTACAACAAAGGCAAAACAAAATGAAAGGACCACAGCGTGCCCTAAGACAGCAGTAAAGCTCAAGTAATTTCCAGTTCTTTCAGCACGCAGGTCAGTGGCAGAGCAGCTGGCACCGCAGAGCCTGTCCCCTTTGCTGCTCGCCCACCTGAGGCCTGCTCCGCAGGCCCCGTCCCCATGGCCGCGGGCAGCAGCTCAGCGGTGCTCAACGCGRCCCTGTCCCTGGGAGGAGCGCGGGGCCGGCCCAGCCACGCAGGCCATCGCCGGCTCCTTCCACGGCTCCATGGGGGCCTGTTGGGCATCTGCCATGGACATCAGCCCTGCACGAACAGGGAAGCGCTGGCCGAGAGGCTCTCTGGCAATTTGCAGGGTGTCAGCCAGCTCGCCAAACACTTACCTCACGCTCTCCAGCCTCTCGCCACCTAGCTTCAACAGCGCACACACGGATAGAGCAAACCTTGCRGCTCAAGAAACTCCTCTGCTCATGTGGATGAAGTCAGTCTAAATCTCTTCCTCCACTCCCCTGCAGTAAGGTGCCAAATTGKTCTCTCCTTGTAAGAAAAACACAGGAGGGAGAAATAGTCCTTCGGGAGGTCAGGGAGGTGCTAAAACATGTCAAACCCTCCAGATCCCTGCTCCAGACTACAGCCGTGTTGAGAGTTTAAGTCCAGAAGAATTTCCCAACATGGAATAAGGAGGTTGAGTGGAGGATCCCTCCCGCGGCCTTCCTGATCTCACGGCTCCACCGTGAGCAGCCTTGCCCGCTCACACCTTCCCCTGCCCGCCCTGGCCCTCGGCAGGGGACGCAGRCAGAGCTTGGCTCTGTCTAAAGCAGCTGTGACGCCTGAGCTCAGCGTCACTGGCAAACACGTCCAACGCCGTGGAGCCGGCCTTGTGCCTCCGCATCCCTGCGGATTTTGATCCGGTCACTTGTGATAAAGGTCACAGTGGTCACTTCAGTCCTTACAATTTATGAATGAGGCCCCTTTGACTGCAGTGCACCAAGTCCTAACAGGGTATTTATCTGCCATTCCCTTGCAAGGCAGGACAGTTTCTGATCCTATATTACAGCAAGGAAACAGAGCAAGGAGATTTACACTCAGTGCAGACAAACTTAGTTATGTTCCTGACTCCTGCTGAAATCAGAGGCATTTAAATGGACAGAACATGTAGGTGTAAAGTTATCTGCATCAGCTCTAGTGGGAGGTCTGCAGCAGGCCCAGAACAACTTCTAATCTCTTCCATTCAAAGCTTCATCCCTCTGCAATCCACCAATTGCTTTAACAACACTTTTATGACCCAGGTCTGAATAATCTGTGTGGTTCTGAAAATAAATGGCACCATAAAGAAAGAGAGATTTGCTGCCTCTTGCACTTCTACCAGTTCTTCAACTCTGTTTTTGCTGCCTTCTGAGTGATGAAGAAGAACCCTGGCCCCTGCCATCCCTACAGAAAATACATAATGTTAATGTGGCCTTGATATTATTATTTACTTTTCAAATGTGGAATGAATTTCCAAGCTGTCAAAAACTATTCCTACAAATACTTGCTGAAATCCAAACCGAGTTTTCTTTTCCTTGTGCGCATCCCTATGAAATTGCAATTACCATGCTGCAGGAGYTCCCTGCTGAAACCCAAATAGATTCCCACCCCCTCTCAGGATACTCACATTTTCCAGCCTCTCTGACTAATTTAGGGATTAGCAGATCTTTGGGATCGCRGCCACGAGTCCGGAGGGAGGCTAACAGCTAAGGCAGGCGCAACGGGCAGCTGGGAGGCAGAGTGCAGAGCAGGGAAGCTCTGGCTGGTACTCGCACAGCTGAGCACGGCTGCTGGCCGGGAGCCTGGCCTTAGGAAACCCTGATTAGGGCCCAAGGGGTTACGGGAAGAGACTTCAACCCCCATCCGTCCAGAGGCTGCATTGCTTCAGCCTGAGGGAAAGGCTGAAAACCTGGAGGGATGTTAGCTGGCTTGCTGCTCCGGGACATGAGCCAAGGGAACAGAGCCAAGCGCGGCACCTCTGTGCTGACCGTGCCAAGTCTGGTGAAAGCCCCAAAGCAACAGGCTTTGACACRCAGGTGACTCGCACAGGCCTCTCCCCAAGTTGTGGAACCTCTATGCCTGGGACCTCAMGTATAAGCATGAAGACCAGGCCGAATTTCTTCAAAACCAAGGGCGTTACCTTCTCATGAAAAGCAGCGGGATGAAAGTAAGACTCGGCCCTTCTGAGGAGGAATAGCCTCATTCCAGAATGCCTGGCGCTCCACACAAGCACGTTATCAGAATGAGAGAGAAAAAAAAAAAATACTCCTACTTGCAGTTTAACCCCAGCTTAATAACTGTGACTGAGGAGAAGATGCCCTTCTGATTTAGATAAGAGAACTAGACAGGCTGGGTCCCTATGGAAGTGAGAACCATATGCAGGGCCTCACTGCAACTGAGCAGCATTTGGCACAATGACAGAATTCAGTGATTTTGATGGATTTGTCTAGTCTCTGTTCCCTGTCCCAGGCGTAAAACATAAGAAAGTTCTGCTTTTGCATCAGTCCCTTACTACACACAATTGCTTTCTGATCCCAACACTACTTAAAATCTAGTCTATTTTATCAAACATAAGTTAGATTAAACTCCTCGCTAGACACGCTAGGCTTACACCTGCAAGGCCAACGTTCACACCTTCCTCGGAGGACAAGTGTATCTGTTCAAACTGAACATTCGCAACAGGTCCCAAATCTCTTGCTTGTCTAAACAGGACACCTAGACAAAGAGATCAGACGTGACCACTGCACATCTTTAGACAGATACACATTGCTCCTAACTTGGGCTGCTACCCTTCCACTATCTGTCATTTAATCACTTCCTCTCAAAGGGGAAAATTTGCACACGATGTGGCTGGCAGGTAATTGCACCAGGAGGCAGAAAATATAACACACCAGACCCTTCGGTTCGATGAAACCCCAACAGCTGCAGCAGCAGAGAGCACTTAGACAAACACGCACAGGTTGGATGCCCATCGTGCAGCCAAGACGTGCAGCCGCGTGCATGAGGCACCGTGCTGCCCYGACACAGCTGCCTTGGCACACCAGCAAATCCCAAATCTTCCTGCCTTGCCTCAGGATGCAGCCCCATTAACACCATCACCATCCCTCTGGTTTTTGACAACAGATCTTTTCAGTGTGTCACATCTGTAGCTTGTATTTATAAAGCTATAACGAATGCCAGGACACACCTGGTCATTCCCTCAATACAAGAGGAATCACAAAGGTTAAAAATAGCAAAGGTTAAAGGATGTCATTCCCATCTGAAGGCAAGAAGTATTTGGATTGCACTGGAATCCCTATACTCACCTCAACAATAGTCTTTATATGTTAGGCGGCATGACCTAAAAACAAAAGAAATAAAATCCCTTTCATAAGGGAATGAATCACGCAAAATTCTGGATTTGGTTTCACTGTTGGTTTTGAAACCTTGTTTTCCTCTCTCTGCCCTGCACCACTCTCATTAGATTCAGAACAGCTCTCGGGATGCCAATGATGCTTTAATTATCTGAAATCTCGATCAGCTTTTCAGTGCAGAGACAGAATGTGTGAGCTTAGCACAGCTCAAAGGCTTCTGGTTCACGACATCTGTTTTAAAGTGAACCATCAACATAAGCTATATTGCTGTCTTGCCTGGTCCAGTTACTGCCCTTGAGAACAGCACAGCTAACAGCCCTAAACACCAAGTTCRTGGATCACCAGAAAGGTGCTGGGTCAGGATGCACTCTTGATGTTATCTCCCTGCTAATATATAAGCTAAAGAAACATTCCCAATGCAGTTCCCAAGTTTTGGTCTACAAGAAGAGAAAGAAGAGGCACTGACTTTGATCCTGCAACACAATAAAATGAGGAAATGAGCCAGCTGGAAGGYTCCCCTAGATATTAAGCAAGAAATAAAAGTAAATCCACAAAGCATCAACTTGAGGTCCAAAGTTGGCAGCCATCAATAAGAAGCAACAGTGTTCAAGTGGAAAAAGAAACAYGACTGCCAACTGGCCAACTATCAAGGCAGAGACTAGAGAGGAGAATAAAGTGAAATAAATGGAAGACAAACTGACAACATTTTCTTCTTGTCTTAAAGGTCTGATTTAGGCAAAAGCAAAACTAGGACCCTCTGCAAGGGCTGCAAACCTGTTACCAATGAAAGGAAAGGGACTGTCCACACCACTGCCTCCGGCAAGAAGGTCTCCCTATTGTGAAAAAGTTCAAGAATTCCTCAGGGCAAAAAAATCACTGTACTGTGCTTTAGAACACAGGCTGAATAAAAATAATGTAATTAAACACGTGGAGATTATGAGAATATGATAAAATACGGAATGTATTTATCTGCATATTTTTGCTAAAGTAACCCATGTTCTAAGGAAACCTAGCAGACAATTTCTAATATGACATCAAGTGCTTCCTTAATGTTTTGCTAGATTAAGTCTAAGATATTACTTCAGTTAGTAAAGATGGACAAGGTGGGTGAAGAGCTGCCTAAAAAGTTCAATTTATGTTCATTGGGGCCCCAATTTAGGGCTGCTCTTACTTCACATTTGCATTAATCTTCATAGCATGAGAGAGGAATGAAGCAATGGAAGTTGCAGATGACAAAGAGCTGGAAGGCCTCATTAATAAGAGGACTAGGATATTATTATAAGGGAAGGAGTGGGTAACTTGTGACTGGAATGGCAAAAATAAAATGAAATGCATCTTGAATGTGGCATTTAAGAAATCTGCCACTGGTTTTCAAACAAAYAAGTTTCAAGCTGTAGATCTGAAAGAATGAAAAATGGTCCCTGGCAGCTCAGTGCAGAYGCAGTGAACATAGCAACCGGTTAAAGCTTTCATTTAAATCCTCTGAAGGAACACACAAAGTGTTTACAGAAATGCAATTCATATGGCAGCCCAAGCACAAACCTAATTTTACAGCACAGAATATTCAGAATAAGGTTTTGCATATTCTTCCACACTAGACAAATGCAGCCAGCCCTCAAATTCTAGGGTGCAGATCCACGTGGCAGTAGGTGGGTATTTACCCCRTATGTGCTCGGTTTGTCTTCATTCACCTCTCGGGTCCGGAGCCCTCCTGTGACCATGGAGCTGCCTTGCACAGACATGAGTGTGCGAGACACCCACCCCAGGGCAACAGATCCACTAAGGCTTCAATSCTTGGGCAGAAACAACCCTTGAGGCACAACTATGAAATGCAAAATRCAGCAAAAATAGCATTTAAAAAGTCTCTGAAGTTTGGGGGAGGACGGGRAAAAGAGGTGACAGTTAAGGCAGACAGAGCCTCTAAGCACTGCAGGTACAGCAGCAATGCTTCCATTTTTTCTTTTGGACGTTTTCTTGGAGTTTGACTTTTTCAATGTCTGTGTAGACCTGATACRAATTGGCAGAAGAAATCAAACCACCCACACAAGATTACCATTTTTACCAGGCATAGAAATGCCACGATTTCTCTCCGAATTTTAGTATGAATTCCAACAAGATAGTCTGTAGTCTATCAACGAGATTAAAAATAACTTTCAA